AAAATAAAGAATTTTTCGCACTGCACAAAAATGCACTTTGTCTAATGTGCGATGTATCGCAGCCCGACGTAGCTCGTAGCACTACGTAGCGCGACTACGTCGGAAAAGTTTGTCCGTAGACCGGTGTGAACGGCTACGAAGCAAAGGAAGAGCTCTCAGGCGCGGGCTGCTCGCGGGGCGAGATTCGCGGACTATGCGGAGGCCGTGCGAGGCCGTGCGGGGCGCCGCGGGGCACCGCGGGGAGGGGGCGGGAGAGAGGACGGTGCGCGCGCACGCCGCGCCCACGCCGCCCCGCCCCACACACCCGCAACCTATTTATTTCTAGTTACGTAAAATTTACGCGCAATACCAAATAGGTACTGCATTATAACTTATGTTACTATTTTGCAGTACATAACTCGCCAGTGACTGATATATTGCCTGATTAACAATAGTTGTGCTACTGAGACCCACACTACAGGTAAAATTTATGGTTTTATTTTATTTCCGTAACTATGAGCTACCACTGCATGCCCCAAAATTTTTCGTTTTAATATTTTCAAATTGGTTGAGTATTTAGGAAGACAAAAGCTTTTAAAAGGTTTGACGTATGGCGTTAAAAGGCAAATGTTTACATTAAAAGCCAATCAGTGTTTTTCACTTGGAACCAATTTGCGGCCCTCGGCAGGTGAGGCGTAAACTAAAAAAAGAAGTCCCGCCGGTCGCCGGGGGCGTCGTGTCAAATTTGGCAGACGAGTTTTTTCGACCGCTGTCGTGCTATCAATGTCACTTAAATAAATTGAATGAATCAGAGGGCGCTTCGACTGTCTGTACCAAACCTTAGATTTTATTTGATCGACGATATCTGCACCAAGTTTCACTCGTCACGTATTATTGAAACTCTCTTATGGTGGTTAATTTTATAACCTAATCATATTAGATTAGATGGTAGCAAAATTACCATAGTAAATAGTCAATGTATTATTTCCAAATTAATGCAAAAGTTGGAAAGTGTGTCATCGTAATCAGCTGTTCGCACCGCGAGCGCAGCAGACAATGCGATTAAGATCTACGCAGGACAACTTTCGCCGCGCGCCGAGCGGCAGTTAGTTGTTATGAAAGAGAGAAATTTGTAAATTGTTGGCGCCCGAGTTCACGAACTCCGTCGAACTGGAGTTTGTTTTAAGAGTCCAACCTTGAAACAAGAAGAAAAGTAGTCCTGTAAAACAAAGTTTTGCGGCCGCCGTCGCCGGCGCAAGCGGTTCAAGGATTGTGCCCGAACTGTCTGTCTGTACAACTTTACCGATTAAAAGCTCAAAAGCTTCCAAAGTCATTTTAAAAGTTTATCTGTGAGGGGGCGATGGAGCGCAGGAGGGGTGTGGTGTAGGCGCTTCGTTATCATTCGCAGTAATACTTTAGTTGGACCTAGTTTAACTTATTTATAAATCGTCTTCGGCCGTCGCCCGCAATGCTTCTCGAATTAAACTGTCAAAGTTGCGAGGCGTCGCGACGGACCACCGTAGCGCTATCGGAGGGCATGTGTTCGAGAGTCAAATAGTTGCTAACGTACACACTAAGTTCCTAGACCCTTCGTCACTTTGTTTTACATCTGTTCCACTTAGCGAACTATGCCTAGAGTTGAGCGCGAGTTCTTGCATGTGTATTGGCAGCACACGCCCGCATCCGAATAGTTTCATAAACATAACCCAACTTAGTTTTGGACGACTTTTCAAAGTCAATGCATACTAACTTTCGATGTCTGGAAGTGCGATATTACGATTGGATCAGTTTCAGCGGGTGACTTTAATGCATTCGTTTGTTCAAAACTTTGCTTTATTGGATCAAACTTCCGAACAAGTCTAAGTATCTTCATTTATTTTCTTTAGTGCTGTAGTCGAATCGAAGTTTCGGTATTGTTTATGAATGAGACTAAATGATTTCTGTATAAGTTATATTTATAACTGACGCTATTAAATTAAAAAAAATGTGTTTTCCTGCTTAGGTTAATAAAATTAGGTAAGAAGATATGTGAGAATAAAAAAGTATTTGGAAAAATTTCTTCTAAATCTTCATATTCTAAATATTCTTCACAATAATCACATAAACTTACAGTTTATTATTCAGAATAGTTCTATTGAATTAGAGGATGTGTGGATTATATTCAGCTTAGCTTTATATTAAAATGTTTTAATCCAATTAAGGTTACTCAGCAATTTTAAATTATTTTCTTTTTTATATATTAAATATCGCTCATAAATTGCCGTGCACGATTCGTTCTCATAATCAACGTAATTACGAAAATCTCCGACGAGAGTCACGATCAAACAGTCAAGCGCGTAGATAAAGCTGCCACAACCCTCGGAGCGTTGCACGCTACCACCACTCTATTTAGACCTTCCAACCGCCCTTCCTATTTTGACAAGTACATAAGAATAGAAAATCGCTCATACTTTAAGGGTTCTAAATATTCTGGTCGTTATGTACGTGTTATCTTGCTTCGCCAATAAGTCACGCAATAATTACCGCAAGTTGAGGATCACGCGCTCCCCCGCACATATTTATGCAAGTTACATAAATATACATAAATAAATATCGCCCGCGACAATTGCAAGCGGTTTTGTCGTTAAGAATAATGGACGGCCGCGGGCTATGACTTACGCCTGCACCTATCTCTTTACTTATGGAGCTATTAAGAATTATGCAGAACGATTGAGATACTTTGTTACTTTATAGGTGTTGGATAAGATGCGCAAATCCTGCATAAAAATGAAATAAATATGAAAAGAAACTTGTACTAATTGTGTTATTGAATGCATTTACGATATATTTTAAACAAAATTGATGATTGATACGTCTTTGTTATACTTAAGCAATGTATTTTTGGTAGTTAATTTTAAATTCTTATTTGCATATTTTACAGTGTAAATGGAATTCAATCTTTATAACCATATAAATAGTTGTGGAGGATTTATGTTTTTACTCAAAAACTTTATATTAAGGTAATATTTTGAGGTTTCGGGTGATTAAAAATCTTACTTTATTTTTGCTAGTATTTTAATAATTACGAATTTAATGTCTTACGTTAAGTCGAGTTAGAGTCGCTGTAATGTGCGATGGCCTTTAATCGAAAAGTTACATTTGAATAATCAACCATCTTATCATTATTAAACATATTATAACTATCTTATTAAATAAATAAAATCAGCATCAATAATAAACATGCTTGAAAATATTGTAACCGGTATTTTTCAATATTTTCATTTAAAATTTCTTAGATTTACAAACCGTACTAGCACGATAGATGTCGTTCTGCTTTTCCGGTAGGTGGCGTGACTCTCTAAACTTACCCCGGAATTTTGTAAGCCCAAATATAAAATGTTTTAATAACTCGATCACAGCGTTCTCTTCTGATTTTTCGTCTTACTTAATTAATCCCAAACCAACATAACTTACTGTGAAACTAATGCATTTTCGTTTGTAAATATAGAATTTGTTAATGATTTGCCATCAGCGCCTCCATTTGGATCTAACATTGCTATATACTATTGCCTAAACAAAACAAATATATACCTAATCGTTATTTTGTAAAATGGTATTGTTACAACATATACTTGATGTTATAATTCACATAGGACCTTGAAAGCTCTTGCGTATTGATGATTTTGTTATATTCTAAAACATTGTAAACTAAACGGACTGCCTCGTTGGTCTAGTGGTTGTAATAGTGCGACTACTGATCATGTGGTCTTGGGTTCGAATACCGGGTCGGGCCAAAAAATAAATTATTAAGTTTTTCTGTCAAGAAATTCTCAGTAACTGCCTGGAGTCAGGAAGTTGGCGGTGTCTCACCCCCGTGCCTCGGAAAGCACGTAAAGCCGTTGGTCCTGCGCCTGATCTCTCTCCGGTCATGTCGGTTTACCGTCCCATCGGATTATGAGAGTGAGGGAATAGAGAGTGCACCTGTGCTTGCGCATACTCTTGGGCACTATAATTCTGTCCTGCGCCGATGGCTAGCTTCCGTTGAGGCATGCCGCCGTGACCGAAATTCGGTCTGGAGGACATTATTACTATTATTATTATAATATTCTAAAACAATAACAGGTATAGAGTGTTTCATTCAACAATGAACTATATTTACCTAAACATTACATATATATAAGTATAGTTCATTGCTGAACATGGGCCTCTCACGTTGTATCGAAGATTTGCCTTAATCATCACGCTTGGCTGGCAGATTGACAATAGCAGTACCAGAGGTCTCGCACGTTTGCCTACTTGTCTGTCTGGGTATCAAACGTCAGGCTTAAAAGTGATGGTTACATCACGGTCTATTGGAAATCACAGATCTTTCTGACATATCCCTTATTCGTTTCTTATGACACGCACAGAACGAAATAGGGTAAATAATTATGCTTAAAAATTCACCACCTTGTTTTGTCAGGCAGAAACCCAATGCCTCGAATAGCATATCTCGAAATAAACTAAAAATATACTCGTTTTATCGTGATTAGTTCTAACTTATTTTGAAATATGTAAAATTAAAGAGTTTGGAAGCACCCTTGGTCACAGGCGACTGAACATACTAAGATGATACGGACAAGAAAAAATTATAGTGAAAATGACACATGCTTAACTGTGGTTTCTTGTTTCACTCGATTACTATAATATCGGAGCAGGATTCGAATTCCATTTTGGTTTAAATATTTAGTTTCGGTAAGGCATTGTAATTAATCAGCAAAAATCAGCCAAAAAATTAAGTTATTTAAAGCCGAGTACTCCAATTGACTGAGATCAGGCTGTTAAATACATTATCTACCCCTGACCATGGATGCTGCAAAATACTTAACATGTTGTTTTATAAATAAGTTAATTTTTGTTAACTAAAATTTAATTTTGAATTATGCCAATCCGCTCTTTGGTGTAGTGAACTCTTTTCTGCCCTGAAGGGCATATAGAGGTTGCTACTTTACTTTTTTAAGTTAAATATACTTGTTTTTAATTTTTTTAAATTATAAACTTACGATTTAGAAGTGGATGGTCGAAACAATTTGTGCTTTATTTCTTCTCCGTCGTTACTCTGTAACAAAAAAATTACATTATATGATGCGTACTCATATCTGAGTATATTTAAAAAATTACAAAAAAGAAGTTAAGTGCTTAGTTTATTTTGACGTTTCTTCTCCGGTCAGAGGAACTTCATTTCAATACTGTAGTAGGTTTAAAAAATGACAATCGACGAATTCTTAGGTCGAAGAAATAAAGATATTTCATGTCGTGTGTGAAAAGTGAAACTCAGTTTTACACTATTTTATGAGCCTGTGGATTCAATGTTCGAAACGTCGGGTATTTAAAAGTTAAAATATACGCGATAAATTCCGTAAAAACTAGTATTATTTCAATGTGTAGTGTAATATAAGAAATCATCATTTATTGTAATATTTTTATGTCAAAGTAAAGTTTTCGTATTTTGAAAAAAAAATATTCTTAGCCGACGTAGAAAACCAAAATAATATTTGAACCTAGGACTAGCTGAGTATTTTAGACATGATGGCCAGTAATATAACCATAACCAACAATTAAACGGTTCGATATACAAGCGTATCATTAGTAATTTTACATAGGATCAGATTGTTACAATTACTGTTGATGAAAATGACGGCATTACGTGTCTAGAACGGTTTCGAAATACGATTTTAATTGATGTTGTGCAACCATTCACATAAACTCTTTTATTGTACCGATAGCTTGTGAAATATGCGTTATGAAAATTTGAATTTTGTTTCGTATCGTTGCGTAAAAAGTTTGACCGCGGTGACGTTGTTTGTGTTGGCTGTGCGCAGTAAAATAATTTCTAAATATAAATTGTTAAACAAATGTAAGATTTGTTTCGAAATCGTAATTTATAAGTTTGATTTTTTAAGGATTCTCTAGCAACGTTCTGTTATGCTTACGCAGTACTTTAGGAAATATAGAACTTTTACTTCAAATTCATGTAACAGTATTAATATTTATATAAAGAGTTGTGAATTTTTAAAGATTGATTATTTTGATATAATTTCGAATGAGATAACTTATAATGTGGGTCAACAATTAGGATACATTATTTTTCTTTCAAAATTTCCGTTAGTAAAACTTTTGGATGCCTTGTTGCAAATCAAATACTTTGTAATTCATAGAATTTCGAAAATTACGTATGTTCTACTAGCGCCTAAAAAAATCAAGAATCCAACGTTTTGTCACATGAAATCATATGTAACAATTATAATGAACATATAAATGATATGAAAAGCACATTGTCTGAAAGATAAATGATTGTTGAACTTATTTTATTTGCATCGATTAATTGCTACTTTTACATTAAAAAGTAGTTTTAGTGGCTTGTGATATGTAGATTTATCAAGTCCGCATAGAGGGGTAAACACGGTAACTTTTGAAAATATCAATTTTTCAACTCAATCTATTTTTTAATCTCTTCATCTATCGTGTGGGAAGCCATGGAATGTAAATGGCTGTTTAATTGTGTTTTGTTTAGTTAAAATAATTTTTTTTGACTAATATATTCTAAAATGTTCGGTGTCTTGAGCAGCCCATATTATATTTATTAATATATTTTACTAAATACAGATACACTTTGACTCACTCCAGACTCGGCCACCGTCGTGAGTGGGTACTGTATCATTTCTTTACAGCGGCTCGTGATAAAAAATATCAATCGCTGTAGAAATACAAAATATTCCAAAACCCAATTTGATACATACTTGACCAAAGTAAGATATTATTATTATTTTTATAATCAAAGATTTTCATTACAATATATTGTTTCGCTAAAAGTACGTCGGATTTATTTATAAATATACTTATTAGATCACTCACACTTTAGATCACTCCATTAAGTCGAAATAAAAATAAACGAAATAAAACGAAATAAAGTTGATGAGGAATTTTTTTATTAACGAGTCATAATGATTTCTTATATTTACGCGAACACTACACATTGATTAAAACTATTTTTACGGATTTTATCGCGTTTATTTTACTATTATTTTTAATTCCCGACGTTTCGGGCGCTTTCCAGCACCCATGGTCACGGGGGACTGAGACGACTGACGTCCCGATGTCATTGTTAAACCCGGAGTACCTTCAGCTTTTTTTTAATTATCGTTTATGGTCCGATCTATGCAAAATGAACTGACTATGCCCTGAGGTCTTGCAGTGGTATGCTTGGGTTTAGTTTTAATTTTATTGATTATAGGATCCCAAGCAGGTGGTAGTACCCAGCCTCCTTCTCTATTGAAATTAGGATGTTTTTTAATTTCAATAGCCTCACGTATCATCCTTGGTAGGAATCGGTGTTCTTTCGCGAGGATTTGTGGTCTATCAAATCTGATGTAATGGTTGAGGCCGTCTAGGATATGATCGCAAACTGCAGACTTCCCGGAACGTTGATGCTTCAACATCAGCTATATGTTCTTTTACGCGGGTCCTAATTGATCTTTTTGTTTGTCCTATACAAGAGAGACCACATTCACAATCAAGCTTGTACACTCCTGCACCTTGTAGAGGAATATGACACTTGACTGATGGTAGGAACTGACTAATCTTCTTCGGCGGCTTGTAGAATGTTCTAATAGAAGCTCGCTTCAAGATGTAGCCAATCTTGTCTGTGACACCTCTGACATATGGTAGTACACAATACACGCTCGACTGTAGCCGGCTTCACTCGGTCACTGTGACGTAGGCGCGGGACCCGAAGCTTGTTGTCGTGCAGAACTTTCTTGACGTGCTGAAGCTCGGCGGCCAGGTGTTTGCTGTCACAGATCCCTCGTGCTCTCTGTAACAAAGATTTGCCCACGGTAGCTTACTGTGAAGGATGGTGGTGAGATTCACCGTTTAAATATCGGTATATATGGGCCTTTTTTCTATACACAGTGTGACCAATGGTGTTGTTAGGATTTGGGATGACTAACACATCTAGGAAAGGTAAGGAATTATTTGTCTCTAACTCCATAGTAAATTGAATTTTAGAGTTTATGGAATTAAGATGTTCTAAAAATGCAGTTACTTTGTCTGATGGTAAAAATGTGAAAGTATCGTCTACGTACCGCTTGTAGATCCTTGGTGTAACAGGTGCAGTAAGGAGGGCTTTCTCCTCAAAGTCTTCCATGAATGACAATGGGAGATACAGGTGAGCCCATCGCAACACCATCTACTTGCTAGTAAAACTCTTCCTTCCGCAATAGATAGCCAGATGTAAGGCAATGTCTGAGTAATACTGCATATTCTGCATATTATTTTCCTCTATTTTCCTAGTTATAATTGAGATGCAGTCTTCAACAGGTAGGCATGTAAATAGAGACTGAACATCAAAACTGACCATGGTTTCATTGTCAGTAAGACGTAGGTCTTTTATCTCACTGACAAAATGGTATGAATCCTTAGTGTGTGCTCTTGTGTGTCCTCTGAGTGGTGATAATATTTTAGCTAAGTATTGAGCCAATCTGTAAGTTGGCGAATCAATCTGACTCACTATTGGACGTAATGGAGCGTTCGGTTTGTGTATTTTTGGTAACCCATACAACTTCGGTGGTTTGGCACATGAAGGTATTATCGAATTAACTTATTACGTAATTCGATAATACTTAATACGTTAAAGCTGAAGGTACTCCGGGTTTAACAATGACATCGGGACGTCAGTCATCTCAGTCCTCCGTGACCATGGGTGCTGGAAAGCGCCCGAAACGTCGGGAATTAAAAATAATAGTAAAATAAACGCGATAAAATCCGTAAAAATAGTTTTAATTAACGAGTCAGGTAAAAAGACTAGTTTTTACGATAATGTCTGAGTACTGAGCATTTTTTCACGATATTAAGAGCATTATGAGTGGTGCACTTTCGGATTTTTCAAACTTTTTTTATTGACACTTGACATAAAATTGTCGGAAAATTAGAAGTAATAGTAATACAGTTATTTGTGAAAACTTGTGTGTATTTAAAATAAGTACTTTTAAAAATGAACGTATAATATGAGCGCTTACGGTTTGCATTTGGTTTTACCTTTCGTCAATAAAAGATAGTGAATGTAGTTGTGCATGTTTAGACAGTAATGCACCAAAATTTCAGCCATTTTGAACGCGTAACAACTATTTGACAATCGTTTGAATGGAAAAAAATTGAGTATCAAGCTGTCATAAATTTTTTTTTGAAAGGCAATACGCCTATGCAAATCAAAGAGGAGTTGGGCTCTGTGTATGGGGACTCTGCACCATCAATTATTACAGTGAAATTTTGAACAGCTGAAATTAAACGTAACCGTGAGAGCTTGGGAGACTATTTAAGTTTAGGACGTCTAAAAACTGCAACTACTGACGATAACACCGCTAAAGTTCACCAAATGGTGCTAGAAGACTGCCGAATCAAAATAAGAGAGATAGCAGAGGCTATGAAAATCTCTTAAGAACGTGTTTGTCACATAATAAATCAAGATTTAGGCATAAAAATGCTGTCAGCGCGTTGGGTGCCGCAGATGCTCACGTTAGACCAAAGACGTGTTCGAATGAACATTTCCAACGCTCTGTTGGCACAGATTAGATACATCGTTATACGCCCGAAACAAAAATACAGTCAAAACAGTGGACTGCACGGAGGAACCAGTTCCAAAAAAGCGAAAACTGTTTTTTCGGCTGGAAACGTGATGGCGACTGGTTTTTGGGATAGTCATGAAGTTATCTTAATCGATTATCTTCAAACAGGAAAAACGACTACTGAAGCATACTACGTATCACTAATTGAAAAACTGAAGGCAGAAAATGCGGAAATATAGCCAAATTTACAGAAAAATAATTTTTTTTTCACCAAGACAACGCGCCGTCTCACACCTTTTTTTGGTTGCCCTGGCAACAATCTACGGATTACGGTATGAATTGCTTGACCATCCGCCTTACTCACCAGATCTAGCCCCAAGCGACTTCTTTTTGTTCCTTCATCTAAAAATTTCGATTGGAGGACAGAGATTTTCGTCAAATGAGGAGGCAATCATCTTCGTGAATAATTATTTTGCAGAGAAAAACACCGAGTACT